GGTCCACTACCACCCGTAGGATGTGTATGGGGTATACTACCAACCGCAGGATGGGTATGGGGTCCACTATCGCCCACAGGATGGGTATGGGGTCCACAACTATAGTCACTCGATATGTATGAGGTTCACAACCCACCCGTAGGGTGAGTATGGGGTCCTTTACTACCTGTAGGATGTTAATGGGGTCCATTACCAACTGTTGGATGAATATGGAGTCCACTATCGCGCACAGGATGGGTATGGGATCCATTACCGCCCACAAAATGGGTATGGGGTTCACTACCGCTCACCTGTGTGCGGTAATGGACCCCATACCAATCCTCTGGATGGTAGTGGACCCCATACTCATCCTATGGGCGATTCTAGGCCCCATACCCATTCAACAGGTGGTAGTGGAGAGGGTATGGGGTCCACTGTCTCCCACCTGTGTGTGGTAGTGGACCCCATACCCATCCAGTGGGCGGTAGTGAACCATATTAATCAGCCTATTAATCTTTGTTAAATTATCAATCAAGCTGTCGATGCAATCAACCCTGAGGACAACATAAAGAACATTATATGAGGAGCCTATGCTATGCTTTCCTACCTCAGAATCACTTTTAAATACATGAGAAAATATTAAAGAAATTATTCACGACCTTTGCAAGACCAAAATTAGAATGTGCAGTAGTTGTATGGTGCCCATATTTCAAGAAGTACTGCACATCAATAAATTGGAAAAGATGCAAGTACAGTAGGTGCAACTAAATGACCGGTGGGGGTGCAGCGCCGGTCCCCAAGTGTCCCGCTGTCCGCAGCTAATACTTTGCCTAGTCTAGGTGCTAGTAAGCCCTTCTTTTAGTCAGGAACCCCTTCTCCTTATTCATTAGGTCTTTACGGCCTCTTGGTCGGGTCCATTATGTGTTATGTGGTCGCTCACTTATTAGTTACTCTTTGTGTCCTGCCTGTTATATCCTAGTGTTATATAATTACTACACATTTGCCCACGGCCTTAATTCTAGTACCAGTTAAGCTATTAGGTTTCTGCAGAATTCGTTTGCCATGTCACTAGGCTAAGCTTATCTCATACTTACTACGGGTGTACCTTTTAAGTTAGATACTAGTCCTCGGACTTGGAATTGTTACTTTTGTTAATTCTTACTTTATATATCTACATGTTCTGCAGAATTTATTTTATCAATAAAATTTAAGCCCCATACTGTCAGTATCTTTCTCTCCCTGATCAGATAATGGCTTCTGTTACTGAAAAACGAGGTACTGTATAAAGAAAGGCTAGAGGCGTTAAATATACCAAAGCTAGAAGATATTAGAATAAAAGGTATATGACCAGGAAAATAGTAACAGGAACTGAATTCTTGAACCCTTTCCATTACCGCCCACAACATGGGTATGGGGTGCATAATAAATGAACTAAACTAACTCAAGAACAAGAGGTCATAGACTCAAGCTAAGGAAACAAAGCTGCTGCAATAGAAAGTTCTGATTTTGCAGACAGTTGGAACAGGTGAGAAGATGGGACACCATGAGTGTAGCTCTCATCACTTAGGTAGTTGCTAAGTACAGTACCTACTTGTCTTCCAAGGGTGAACTGTAACCCCCATGAAGGCAACCAGTAAGAGTGGCAGAATTTTGGAACATTAAGAAACAAGGCATGCACTCTGCTAGACACCCACCTGTAGTAAGGCTGCAAGTGATGCCATTGTGCCCAGAGTGCCTGCTAATTCAGAATGGCAAATCAACAACAATGTTGATGGCTCTGACACCCCATGCCAGAGCCATCAACATTGGCCTGGCCAATGGCCTGTCCATTGGCCTTAATAGAACACTGGCAGCCTCCAGTACCAACAGTTTCTACTGTCCAAATATTAGAAACCTCAAGCTTTCACTGCTAAAATATTAGCAGGCACCCATGACACAGTAGTGATGCTCCAAGTAGTCACATTCACACCCACACTCAAACAACAGTAACATGTAGACGATGAGTCACAATAACGCAGCTGAAGATATGATGACTAAGCCACACATCAGAAGATGGAAAAGCTACGATGTTTCGAGCTGGACCATTATCATTGTCCAGGTTGGACTGAAACAGTAATATTATAAAAAAAAAAAAAAATATTGTATGAGCCCCTATTCAACTGTTTTAATTTGAAAGAATATATTTCTTTAATGAACCTCGAGACCCAAGTACTGTACTGTACAGTATTGTGTTATCAATTGCCCTTCCCTTAAGCTTTTATTATTCCCAAGAAAATGCAGATATTTTTGCAAGTACAGTACAGTACTTTATTTTTTTTTTTTTTTTAAGAATTAAACAAAGTTCTTCAGATAAATTATTTTATTTCAACATCAAATATACTTGTACTATTTAGTATTTACATAATTTGGTATGCCATTTACAAGGTACGTATGTATAATTTACACAACATAGCAAATTAGATAACAGCACTTCGTCTTTTCAAGCCGAGAACAAATTCAGGTAGTGTGCTATGAAAGCCAAAGGGTAATGCGATGTGAGGGTGAGGTGGGACCCTGGCACCACACCAGCCTCGCAATATACTGTACCATACTTTGGTCCACTGGACATCACATTAAATAGTTCATCTACTAAAATAGCATGTCTAATCTGTACACTATAAATACAAAATAATTCTAGTATAAATTTATTTTACTCTTATAAATACATAAAAATGAGACCAATGAAAATTGTGTGGTGCCATGGATTATATATTTAATGACATTTTTTTTTGCTACATCTGTAGGGGGCAATACATTGCATTATTATTAACCATTCCTAGTGCAAAAATCACTGAAATAGTTTTCACATATGTAATATATTCACAAATGGATGGGAATAAATAGGTGACCAGATGAGGAATGTAAATTAGAGTAGAAACTTACAAGGATTCCTTGGTCATTCATAAGGTTTACCATAAAAAAAATATTTGTTAGGTAATGAACACCAGAAAAGTTTGTAGACAAGTTATAATTACAGAGAGGTTATAAAGGTCTATAAATAGTGATGATACCTGTGCAAAATGTTCCATGGGACAATATTACTGGTGTTAGCTTGGCTTTTAACTGTAGGTGAATGTATGGGAAAAAATGTTTTGCTATTAGCCTTGGGCAGAACACTACATTGTTTCAAAACTATTATAATTAAAGTCTGCAAGGACAAAGTTTATAACTTTGTTAAATATAAAAATTATGTAGAATTGCTGTACAATAAACATCATTTGTATTCAATAACAAAAATTAATTCATTAAATAATATAACTAGTGAAACTAAGTTCACTTTAACAACAACATATATACCTTTATAATAAATCATTCAAGCTACAGTAGGCCTATTATGTTTGATTTCAATGACATTTAATGGATCTTCATATGGTAGAGCTCAACTGAAATTAATTCTTTGTATTCTAAACCATAAATTAAATAGGTTACAGAAAAGGTTAACATAGTAATTGGTATAATTGAAATCTTTCTAAATTAAATTTTTCACACGAGTTCCTCTGGGAAACGTTTCTTTCATTTCTAATTTTGTCTTTCTATTGTCTTAAATATTATCACTATAATAATTATTTTTTTGCAGGCTAAATGAGGCAATGAGGAAATGTTTTCGATTTGAAAATTATTACATACAATAGTAGATGTAACAGCCGTTTAATTTGTTTCAGAAAAAAAAATTGTGAAATTAATACAAATGTTATACAAAACGATCATTTTGTAATCTGGTAAAGTTCAGGAAAACCTAATGATATACAGTACTGTTCGTATTCAGCATTATGACAAACACTGATCAATCACAGTTAGCTAGTCTTAATTTGCACATGTTAAATTTCTTCTTGCCGTAACTGCAAGATACTCATGGGAATAAAGTAATCTGTAAAATGCAATTTACAGTACAGTAGCACCTAGACTTACGACTGCCCCTACTTACGAATTTTTCGAGTTTCGACAAATTTTGTTGGAAAATGCGACTTGACTTAGTACCTTTGCCTCGACTAGAGACTTTGTTGATGCACGTTTGGGTCAACCGAGTGCGTGGTTCTTGTGGCAGGGGCCGACCCGACCTCAGTTTACCAAAGCTGCCCGCTTAGTGACGATCGAGCTCGTAAAGAATTTAATTGTTTTTGTGCTTTTTTGTTTTATGATGATAAAAGTAATTATTATATATCATGCCATGGAACCCAAGAAAGATGGTGGTAAGGTTCAACCTAAGAAAATAGCTGTGAGTAGAGGCAGTAGAGGATGTTCCTTCCTCATTAAGAAAATGTGTGAAGTATGGGAAGAACTGCAAAGTTTTGTTAAAAAAAAATCACCCAGATAAAGCTGTAGCAGGCCATTTCCTTGACCTTTTAAATGACAATGTGATGTCTCACTAAAGACAAGTGTTAAAATGTAGGGAAAAACAAGTGTCTTTATACAGATTCTTAGTAAGACAAGCAAGCAGTGAGCCACAACCAGGTCCTAGTGGTATGCCTGCAAAACGTAGGAGAGAGAGTACCCCAGAGAAGTCATCACTACCTGATGTTATAATGGAAGGGGATTCCCTTTCCAAACAGTAACACCTCTCCTCCTCCTTCCCTCCTCACCATTTTCCATATGCCAACAAGAGTCCTCAATAAAGGTAAGATATACAGTACATACTGTATTATAGCTAGTACAAGAAGACTGGTATTCGGTATAAAATGTATTTTTAAACTAATATTTTTGGGGATGTGGAACGGATTAATTCAATTTACGTTATTTCCTATGGGAAAATTTGTTTCGACTTATGAATTTTCGACTTACGAATTTAATCCATTCCCATAGACGGGTCGTAAGTCGAGGCCCCACTGTATAATGTATTCACCAGAAATTCTGGCAATCTGTATATTTAATACAAAATTAAAACATATATGCTGTTATAAAATCTCAAATGTCAATATGAAAAAACATAAGCTAGCCTCCTGTATAGCCTTCATAAAAAAAAATTTACCAAGAAAATAATTATGTTTTGTATAACAAAGTAGAGTATAAGTTATTCAAGTAAATCTTAATTTAATGCCTTTGCCAAATAATTAAATTTTTGTCTATTATTTGCTCAAGAATGAGGTCTGATCATGGAAGAAAGTAATTATTAGAAGAAAGTGCAAACATCTTGCAAGTAAGGCACAGTTGACAATGCTGCACCAAGTGTTGGCTTTATATTTGCAATAATGTAATTTTGTATAAAACCAGATTTCTGTTAATGTATTTTGCCATCATATATATATATATATATATATATATATATATATATATATATATATATATATATATATATATATATATATATATATATATATATATATATATATATATATATATAAATTAATTTTACTGATCTTTTAAGTTGTGGATTGATTAGGTATGTTTAATGAATGACACATCATATAGGAAGCAAGAGTAATAGGAAGCAATTACTGTACGTCATTTCATTTCTCAAAATGTCATAACATTACAATTATTCTTCAGTTTGATTTCAAATATATTTTCTGTTGTGAATATAGTCTACATAAAAATAATAAAATTATATATTCTTGCAACTACAAAAATACTATAAACAAAAGGCAGTACTGTAAGAACACTCTCAAGAGAATCTTAGATACTGTATCAGAATAATTCAATAATTTGACAGCTCCATTTACTCTTAAGAAATGAAGCAACATTCATTTGGTGTATATATATATAAAAAAGTAGGTTTCTGGTAATATGTTATGATAGGCAAGAAACATGTCACACTTGGATAAAACTTGCAACAACAGGGAATGTTATGTTTATGCACTTAACAAACAAAACTACTTCATATATACTAGGGGTCACATAAATAGATGTTTAAATAAGTAAAAAAAAAAACTTACCACCTGAACTGAATGCTACTATATAAATCGATGTGCAGTCAGTTACCCCTTCCTTTGGCTAACAAATCGTTGCTTTAAAGTCACTACATATTTTAGATTTATGGTGAATATCTACTGGGTTTCTCTCTTATTTCCTTTAGTTTTTCTTAATAAAGGGGTGACACTAATAACTAGAAATACTGTTTGTTATATCAAAGTTCACAGACTGTGCCTCGACAAACTACACTGCCAATTTTATCGATCGTGAATGCATACATAGTCCGCCTTATAAGAAATCAAAATTAACTGTCAGTTTCATGGGTATTGAAACATTCTTCATGCTTACTTGAAGTAAGCCCCAATGTTACTTATAGCTGTTTTATTTCATAAACTATGCTTAACTTCAAATGCCCTTAATTCCCAGGCTTGTTGCAATAATGCATTGAGGCAGGAGCTGTACACGGGTACCAAAAAATTTGGTAACACATAGAGAAGAGTGTTTAGAACCTGAAAGCAACTTAATACTTTTGGTTTTTGTAAAGCACTGAAAAAAATTGCACAAAACATCTAAATGACTAATAACACTGTTGTACCCAAGTACGAATCCAAAATTTTCCAGTACTGCATTCGGTTAAGGTAGACATAACAAGAATTGAAATTTCTCGAAGAAGGAATATAGCCATCCATTCTTACATATAAATAATTTGAAATTACAGAATGATAATGTATAATGTGGTGGAATGTACAGTGAAGGTTGATTTTACAGGTATGCTGAGTGACGTGAATTACTCTGCTCAAGAGCAGCCAGAACATCTTGTTTCAGTCGAACATAAAGTTTGCCCCGCTTCCATGGGTTTTGTAGCTGAAGTGGCCTAAAGTCTTCACGTAAACATCTTTCACGCATACCAATCACAGCCACCAAACAGAAATCTTTGAGCTTATCATTTCCATAGGTAGGGCCACTTTTTCCTTTTAGCACAACAGCTACATTAAGTTGTTTCACTACCAAGTCTATCACTTCTCGTGCTGTTGTTCTGGGTGTAATGTGTATTTTAACCGAGGTACCAGATGCCATACCAGTCTGATATGCAGCATACACCCGTATTATGGTAAAATCCTCATTACGAGCAGCTCCTTCAACTAACTCCTCACCTTCTGTACTCTTTGCTTCACTTCGCCCACTCTCTGAGCACATGAGACTTAAATTGTCTGTTTCTGTTTCATTTGAAGACAAGGACCGCAAACTAGCTGTCATACTAGAGAACGAGGCTTCGGAATCGTGACTCAGACTACTCCCTGCCCTCTGCATTTCAACATTTAGGTTGCTACTATAACGATGGTGTAAATCAAAGCAACTACTTGTCGGTGATTTACTACATGCCATAGTCTCTTCATATTCGAGATCAACACTATTTTTTTTCCTCTTACCTTGTTCTACAGACTCTAATGATGAAATGCTCTGATTTATTTTTGGTTCACTAGTACAACACTGGGATTTTAGGCATACCTCATGAGTATCATAAAATGCAGGAGCACTGGCCTTTCTAGGGGGATAACCATTATCTACACAATGTTGCAACTGATTTTCACTTCTAGAAGTTGGTAGGTCTTTACTGTACATTTTTCTCTCACCACTATATTCCATTTTTTCATGTGTCCATGAGAGCAATGGAACATTTTCATTTTGTTCTCCACTGTCTAATAAACAATCATTTAGAGAGTTATAGGATTTGATACAACTATGAACACATCCACTACTATGAACTAAACATTCTGCTGTTTTTGATTTGTGAAACCTTGTCTCACACTTGACTGCAGCCCGTATGTTTTCTGAGGTATTAGATTTTAGCATTCTTGGTGTTTCTGACTTTTTTACACTAAAATTTAAGTCATCATCTTTTCTTAATCTTTTACTATCCGCACCATGCTGAAGGGACTCACTAGAACTATGAGTATCCTGTAAAGGTGAAGTTGAAGCAGGCATGTGTGAGGTAGACTGCTGCACTGCTGGCTGAGGTGTTGTAGAGGGGAATGAACAAGAGAGCAAGTTCGTTAAGGGGGCACCAGATGCTGCCTTATCACGAGCATAGCTAATAGCATCCATAACCCACCGAAGGCCTCGCCACGTAGCATCAAGTTGTTCCTGAAAGGTTTGAAGCTGCCACAGACGGTACCGTGAGCAGTTAATCTCGTCCTGACTGAAGGCCTCTCGACTGGCATGTTGTGCCATCAGTGTATCCATCTCTAGGATGTATGAGAGTCTAGCATATCTTCCAATTAACTCCCTTTGGTATGTGCCCATATGTATCATTTCAAATATTTGGAGAGGCAAGGTTGCAAGATTAGGTTGAGAAAAAAGTGCATCTTCCTGTCCTGGAGCAGAACACACAGCATCCACAGGTGGCATAACAAGGAGAAGAGCCACATCGGAGCTCAACTCTAACACTTCTCTACAGTAAAGTCTGTGTTGCTGCTGAGCATCATCTTCAACCTGCAATTGCTTTAATAACTTCTGTGATGCTTGGCAAAGCTGAGAATGCCACACATGCTGTGCTGGCGATGGAACATTGGGAAGAGGAGAACTTCTTTCACTTTCATTTTCTCCAGCCTCAGCTCCAGTATTTAGATGCCATTGCTCTGTGCTTGCTAACTCTAAGCTCTGCACCCACTCCCACTCCTCTCTGAAAAACAATCATAATTTAACATGTGTTTTAAACAAATTAGCAAATCTAGACAACTGATTGCTCAATTTACTTTCTCTACTGCATACATATATAATCATCCATGATTATTATTATACTTGTCATGATAAAATATTTACAAAATACTGCATAACAGAAGAAACCAAACTACAAACCTTGACACGTGTGGATTGTCCCTGATTTTAACATGAGGGAACATATTGGGTGTTTTCTCTGGCACTAACACCTGCAAAACATCCACAGAACTTTGTAATTTGAGGTAACCCAAATACAGCCCTCTGCGTAAGGGTACACGACTCACTTTATCGTACAAAATCTGGTCTTGTATTGATGACAACAAAATGTCACCAGCTGATGTTCCTGGGTCGCTGTGAGTTGAACTTTGCCCTGTAATATTTGAAAGTAATTTTATTTACTTTTGGAATCAATAATAACTATACAAAAAAAATTATTATTCAAGTAGTTTTATTTAAGAAATAGTGGATGAGAAACTAAATAATTAGTGGATGAGAAACTGGATATTATTTAAGTTTCAATTACTGTATTGCTTTTACTGCTTTATTATTATTTTGCATTTCATTATTATTATTACTGTATTATTATTAGCAACCATGTTTTATGATATTCAGGCTTCATGCACAATTCTGGTAAAATCTAACATGGTTTTGTGATGAGCAAACCCTGCCTAAACAAACCTGCTCGCATTTCTGGAAACAGTAACCAACAACATAGAGCACTCAGTCCTTGTCAACATGGTGTTCACTTTTAAGCATTTGATGAAGCAATACACAAAAGACTAGCCTGTGTAACTACAAGCACATGGAATCATTCAAAATGCTGGAATGGATAAAGTAACTGCTAAAACTCGAAAAGAAGTGTTCCATAATGGAATATAATCAGACTGGAAAAACATTGTGAGCAGAATACTGCAGAGATTTATTTTTGGGCTAATCCCTACTGTATTCTACATAACACAGATGAAAATATCACAAAACACATCATAAAATTTTTGGATGTTACAAAGATCTGAAAACTTGAGAAACGAAAATTACATTACAGCCTTTGCAAAGTATCTACACAAACTTTCAAAACTGACCATTTATTAAATTTGTGTAGATAGTTTTGGAAGGTTGTAATATAATTTTCACTGCTGAGTTTTTCAAATCTATGTACCATCCAAAAATTTTATGATGTGTTTTGTGACTAAAATATTTCTTCCGTATGACAAAATGAAAAACCTTACATAGTGACAAAATGATCTTGTAACACAGTGAGAAATGAAAGGACCTCAGAGTAATAGTCCACTGATCATTGAAAATGGCTCAGCAAATAGGGGCTGCTACAAAAATAGCCAACCAAATCCTAAGAATAATTGAATGACCCTTAAATTTCAAATTAAGGGAAGGATGCTGTCATCCTGCTGTACAGATAGATCCCTTGTGCACCCCATCCAAGACTGTATCCGATAATAGAAAACTAATCTACAAAAAGGCTATTTTTTTTTTATCTGCAAAAAGTTCAGTGCAGAGCAATGAAAATCATCTTAAAGTAAGTCAATACTCATAACAGAAAGGCTGATGGCCTCAGGACTAACAATTCAACAAATAAGACATAACAGAGCTCATCTTAAAAATACTGAGGTTAAAGACATTATTTTAGACCATGTTTTTGTAAACATTATGATGTGACTCACTGTCAAGTATGCCAAGACTCAATGTAGGCCACATAATAAGAGATGTTTTTTCACCCATTTGACAATATACCCATGAACCCAACTATCCATCAAAGATCTAGAAGAGGAATACTACATTTCAAAAATGTTTTTCAGAAAAAATCCTCATAAAGAATGGGGGTATCTGTCACAAGCTGGCAGTTCCCTCACAACCACTGGAGACGGTGGATATCATGTAAATCAGGAAAACAGTGGGGAATTATATTAAATAGATATTTGAAGAACGTTTGTAAACTCACCTGAAGCTATAGTTTTCTTCTCCTTTAGTTTAGAAAGTGGAATCCATTTAACATTCATAGCCGATATGACTTTTGTGCTTTTTACGTGTCGTATTGTACAAAACACCAGCGTTCCATTACTGCCAACAATGGGCTTATGATAAAACTGACCCAAATCTTGGATGCCAAGTGTTGTCTGAAATAAGCAAAAGTGCACATACAATGAACAGAGTAAACCAAAAAAATATTTAGATACTATAACAGACGATAGTTCAGAAGATTATATAGTGCATAAACTATTATACGCAGTATGCGATTATTTCTACCATATAATAATCGCATATGCAGTATGCGATTATTATATGTGTTATTCAGCAATTAAATTAAATACAGTACCTGAATAAAATGTGTCAAGTAGAATTGCTACTTCATAAAAATTACTTTTCTATATGTCAAAATTATCTCTGCCATTCTGTTATACATTTCTTATGAATATAACTTTAAGTACCTGTACAATTAAACAGTACAGTATATAATAGTACTGTATACTGTACTGTATATAATACTTGGTATACCAGTTATTTTTTTTAAGTGCATCTCTTTCCTTAATTTAACAAAAGTTGATGGGCACCAAATTTATAAAAACAAAACAATTAATGGAAATAAATGGTGGCACTCTTCAGGTGATGGGCTGTTGCACCCCACACGGTATCTTTAACTGTCTTCCTACTTGGATTGCAGCATAGGATGTCTATATTTTCTATGAGGCTCTGGATGCCTGCGGCAACATTTTAAGGGGTGGCAAAATTTACCTTTTATATTGGGTAAAATTGAATAAACTCTCAACTGGGGTGTGTTGGATAGGCAAGGAGTGCATAGGGCAGGAGAGGGTGGAGAGTTTGTTTTGAAGTTAGAAGGTGGAAGAGAATATGTTGAGGGCAGGGGAGGATGGGAGTGTATTTGTGGGAAGGAGCAATATGTTATGGGTAGGAGTATACTAATGGTAGGGAGGATACGAGAATGTTGAGAGCATGAGTGTGCTGAAAGCAAGGGAGATAGGGAGGGGGGGTGGCAGAAATATGTTCAGGGCAATATAAGGTGTGTTGAGGGTGGGGAGTGGGAGTGAATGGTCAGAAGGGAGGTTATTGTACAGGGGAGGCAGCAATAAGCTGACCTATATTGGAATAAAACGAATTAAAGCTTTTGTCTATAGCAGTGACACACAGAGGAGGACACGGTGCTGTAATACAGTAGTCAGCAGTTGATTCACAACCAAAAGGTCCCAGATTTAATTCCCACAACAGGACAAGGATGTTTGGGACCATTTTCCCCGAACAAGTGTTTGGAGATTTGGCAAAATGAGGGATGTGTAGCTTTACTTAGGAAGTAGGGCCAGAGTTCACAGACCTGTAGAAGTTATCCCTCATATGTATGTAAAATGCATGGGAAATGTATGGAATGAATGGTAATTCTTAATATGTCTCCAATTACATTTTTCAATGATTTTTGTAGATGGATGCAACATTTGAGGAAGTTGTTGTAGCCTTGGAGAAGCTATTGATCATATTTAAAAATAAATTCTATGTTTCATTTTCATTTTGTGTTGCCACAGTTTTCATTTACTTAAATTTGGGCCCTTCTTCCTTTGAAAATGAGGTTCCAAAGCTAGGATGTGGGAAATATTCTAGAAGTGGTGAAATCTCTTTACAAAAACGTTCTTGTGGTAGTTGCCCATCATATGATTGGTCAATTTTGTTCTGTGAATTTTGCTCACACTATGGGAAATATTACACCATGAATTGTAACTCTTAATATGGCCCCAATCATATTTTTAATGATTTTCATAGACAGAACATTAAGTGAAACAATCGCACTATATATATAGCAATGTATCACAGAGTAGACAAATTACTATTTGTGTTTAACTATGCACCCTTTAAATGTCAATACGTACCTTAATATTTTTTATTTGTCCTTTAATTGGATATCTATTAATCTATCTATATCTATATCTGTCAATCTATATCTATCTTCACTGGATGATTTTTTGTTTAATAAAGCAACTTAGACCTAATGTGTAGTTAATACTGTACAGTATATTGAAATGATAACACTCCAGCACATTTTGTTCATACCTGCATATTGGCTGCAGCTTGTAGCAGTTTTATTCTGAAGGGTACATTAGAAGCTGACCCTGCTCGATCCATGTCTTGTCTGAGAGATTTGACATCTTCCCATGTTGTAGCTACCTGAAAACATCATTTGCGGGAATAAACAAGGAGACTATGGTGGGAAGAATGCTGTAGCTGTGTTGTTTGTAACTCTAGAGTTGTATAGTTCAAGTTCAAGTATGTTTATTGAGACAAGAAAGAAATACATCTCAAAGGGATAGAGTAGCTTAGGCTATTTCTATCCCCCTTGTTGTATAGCTGTATGGTTATATTATGCATCAACTTTTGCCACAATAATGTTTCTACATGATTAGTCAATCTATTATTTACTAATGAAGTGAATATGCCACGAAGTATTACTCTACTGCAATGTAATTACCAACTTCATACAAAAGCTTTTACCTTCAGAAGCCAATGAAAATGAGATCTTGCTTGCCCCATATAGTCATCATCAACTTCAACAACTGGAGGAAACTCTTCTGTTGTTACAAGCACTTTGTCTTCACAGTATACAATGCATGCTAGATACGAACCCCTGAAAATATATATACAGTATATGAATAATTGAGTGTGACGATGAGTTGTGACGGGTAAAATCAATTAGAAGGAAAAAGTATGTTAGTAAGAATTCTAAAAAAAAAAGAACATCACTCAATGAAGAGAACCACGTAAATGTATAATGTACATTTAGGCACATATTGTAGTAGTGTACAATATATAGGTTCTAAAAATTATCTAATAATTGATGTGTACATTGGAAAATGTTATAAGTTAAATTAAGTAACATATAAAATAATGGAACATACACAACATTAAAAACAAAATCATACTTTTTTAAATTTCTATGAAATTTTGGTGCAGGAGTGAAGAGATTTTTTATACTTTTCTTTTTTTGTGCTTTTCTAAGATTGAGCGGTGTTTCTTGGCCTGGTTCTATTGCTTTAATTTCTGCTGCATGCTGTGGTCTTGAGTTACAAACTTGGTTGAAAAGGTTATCCAATTCGCTTACTTGTCCATCTAGCCGAGGTTTCTGGGAGTCTGCATCTCGCCAACCTAAAATGTTTATTTTAAGACCATGAAATATAAGGTGAATAAAGCGATACAGTGTGTACCCAAGGAATTCAACTAATGAGTACAGTTAATTTTTCAAGATATATACAGCATAAAATTTCCTTTATTTAGCATGCTCATTTAAAAGTCCTGAAGACTCTAAGGAATTGGTAAAAGTAACTCACTGGAAGGTATTGCAGCTGGAGGGGTAGTTGTTGCAGGGGGGCCATAATCCTTCAGGTTTCCTGCACTCACTCTAAAATGATGTCTTTTTCCTTGTGATAAACCATCCACGAATACAGACATACGACGCAAGTCGTGAATTTCGAGACTCCCTCCAATAGTTGCCCATTCATCCATGCTCCATTCAACTGTAAGTGACAGTGAAAATTAATTAAATATTCTGGGTTCAACATGTATTATAATTACATTAAACATTATAATTAGAATAATTAGAATAATATTACAAGAATGTAAGAACACGTGTGTGTGTGTGTGTGTGTGTGTGTGTGTGTGTGTGTGTGTGTGTGTGTGTGTGTGTGTGTGTGTGTGTGTGTGTGTGTGTGTGTGTGTGTGTGTGTGTATACACATATACATATACACACACACATCTGTATTCGCCTGAGTTTAGGCGAGAGAGATAATAATTTACACGTAGAAAATATCAGAGGGGCTGGTTCCAAATCTGAACATAGAAATAACATCGCATGAAACCAGCAGGAATGGCAAGATGTGCAGAATACCCCCGTTGAAAAGCAAAGGTGCAAAAGGTACGCTGAGAGAGAACTCTATCAATATAAAGGGCCCAAGACTTTTCAACACTCTCCTATTACACATAAGGGGCATAACTGGCGGGCCTCTTAGTGTTCAAGAGAGAACTCGACAAATACCTCCAAAGAATACCTGATCAACCAGGCTATGATTCATACATCAGGCTGTGAGCAGCTGCGTCCAACAGCATGGTTGACCAGATGACCAACTGGGAGGACTGGGAGACTGGGCCACAGGGCCTTTGATTCCTGAAACCACCACAAGGTAGCCAGATGCTCGAGGCTAGCCTTGCCCATCTTTGCAGGGGGAATAGTCTGGGGTATGGGATGGACATAGGCTAATCAGGGTTGCCAGAATTTAGGAGACAACAGTGTACCAGGGTCATATTCTGACCCCCAATGGCCATATTTGGCACTGCCTGCTGGCTACACCTAGCTGAATATTTTAAAGAAAAAAAATATTCTTCTAATACTTTTTTTCCCCAAGATCAGTGAATAATACACCATTATTCACTGATCTATGGTAAATTAACATAACGTTTCTGCTATTCATACTTTGGGCATAGTAGCATAAAACAGACAATCCTCCCACAGCTTCAAAGGCTTTCCAAGCCCTGCCCATGTCTGAAAGTAAACAGGTAAATATTGTATCTTTAATATTTCATGCCTCTAGGTTACTCCCACTGGCCGACGACTTACATGTCAATGGTAGACTATTATTTTATGAGAGACAAGAGACAAAAGAGATACAGACACAGATAGGGAGAGAAAAAGGAGGAAGAGAGGGTGATGTTTGAAGAGAGGGGAGGGGGGAGACAGGTGGAGAGGGGAGGAGACAATGGGTGATTGGTTGTGAAGATAGAGAGGGGCAAGAAGTGAGAGAGAGGAGAATGGAGGAGAGGGTGGAAGAGTGGCAGAGAGGGAAGGGGAAGTGGGTGAGGAGAAGGTTGAGAGAGGAGGAAGGATAAACAACCCAGCGGGTTTTCTTCCTATTGGGGAGTGTTGTACATGCTGCTATGGCGGTATGTCCACTCACAAGATGAGTGGCGCTGCCCAATAAACTCACCCCTCGGGGCAAAATTTAAATTTAAGGAGGAAGATGGTAAGTGGAAGGGGGATAGGGAAAGTTTGATGATTGATAAAGATTAAGCCACCCAAAAAGTGGCACGGGCATGAATAGCCCATAAGAAAGAGAGGTGAGAGAAGGGCAGATTAAGAGAGAGGGGCAGTGTGAAAGGGGCAGGGGTAAGAGACCCTGTGACAGCCCAGTTCCCCACCCCCCTCCAATATACAAATTTTGGAAACAAAATTAGAGTACTGTAATTAAAAACAAAACATAGAAAACGTATGTGTGACCACATCAGTTTCTTTGTAAGCAAGAAACACATCTGGCTAACCTTACGCTGACTTTTAACAATACCTTTGATTTTTGTCGTAATAGCATAGTTTTGTGGCTCAGGTTCCCTGTATGTGACTCTGACTCGTGTGCTGTCGATGACCTCTACCGTCGCACTGCTGGGAGGACCTGGTGGCTCTGTCAAGATAAAATTCCATGTTCAAAAATATTCAAATTGATTTGAGAAAATTATACCTATAGTATCTACAATGAGCCCTTGCGAGTTCACTACCAACTATACTATATGTTCACTATATGTGTGTGTGTGTGTGTGTGTGTGTGTGTGTGTGTGTGTGTGTGTGTGTGTGTGTGTGTGTGTGTGTGTGTGTGTGTGTGTGTGTGTGTGTAAATCACGAAAATTAACATGCGATAAAAATGTGAGTGTCAAATCACGGAGGAAGAATTGAAACAGGAATTTCCTTAAGTACATTCGTATATTAATATATCTTCAGAAGGAATGAAGATGTATTAATATACGAAAGTACTTACGGAAATGCCAGTTTCAATTCTTCCTCCGTGGTCTGACATTGTCACATTTTTAATCACGTGTTTATTTTCGTGATTAATGACAATGTAAGACCACAAAGCAAGGATTGAAACAGGAATTTCCTCAAGATCAGCTAATAAATTTTGCTTTGATTAGCTGATCAATAAAAAATGGATCTAAATTATACAAACCACTATTAATGTTAAAGCAGATCCAATAATGTTTCTAGTGAAAATGCTTTGACAATTCGTTATTATAGAGCCTTCTCCCAATCAATATGGTGAGAACCTAATGACAAGCTAACAAACAAAGCATTAGGAAATTGGCCATTTCTTACAGTACTTATGTTGCAAAATTCTAAATTTAGAATTTAGAATCCCTTCATGCAAACTGCACCTACTATCAAAAAGAAGAAGAAAGAAGAATTTAGAATTTAAACTTACTCATTTGTTCCAACCCCATCTTCATGTTGCGCAGCATCTTAACCCGTCTGTCCCAGAGGTCCCGTTGGCGCTCTGTTTCCCGCCCGTGCGGCGCGCCCCCAGAGAGCTTCGAGTCGAGATCCTCTCGCCGCCTCTCAGCCGCGCTTACCAGTTCGTTGAGGTGGTGGATGCGTTGTTCAATAGTACCTGTTCACAACGTCACATGTATCAGATACGTTCATTTCAGCTGTTAATGTAGATTGATTAGTTTGTTATGGAAAAAAATAATCATTCTATGGTTGATGTCAGAAAGGTTAGTCACAAAACGTGACTAACACATGTTAGTCACGTTTTGTTAGGCTTGAGTCACAATACATGTTAGGCTTATATTGAGCCCCCCCCCCAAGGGTCTTAATTATTGACCCTGTTATCTTGAGTTATCTTGAGATGATTTCGGGGCTTTTTAGTGTCCCCGCGCCGGTCCTCGACCAGGCCTCCACCCCCCACCCAGGAAGCAGCCCGTGACAGCTGATTAACACCCAGGTACCTATTTTACTGCTAGGTAACAGAGGCATAGGGTGAAAGAAACTCTGCCCATTGTTTCTTGCCGGCGCCCGGGGTCGAACCCGGGACCACAGGATCACAAGTCCAGCGTGCTGTCCGCTCGGCCGACCGGCTCCCTTCCCAGGATGCAGCCCTACATCAAGCTGACTAACTCCTGGGTACCTAGTTACTGTTAGGTGAACAGGAGCATTATGTGATAGGCGCGCTCAACCAGTCCTGTCCCGCTCTGGATTTGATCCGGAATTCCCAATCGCGAGTCTAGAACGAACCCGACTGTTTCAGAATTTGGTTCAAATATCTAGACATTTATTGCATTTTATTTTTTATCATTCAATTACTAGGCGTGGGAATAATTTTGCTGGCACCGTTACATTTACCCAAATCCACATTCCACAAGTGTTGCAAAACTCTTAAATATACTTATAATAATAATAATAATAATAATAATAATAATAATAATTTTTATTTAGGCAAAGGTACATACATAAAGAGATTTTACAAAGTTTGTTGGCTTTATAGATAAGAGCTAGTACATACAATGCCTAAAGCCACTATTACGCAAAGCGTTTCGGGCGGGAAAAAACACTACTGACTAAAGCTTAAAACTAATGGGTAAAAAGAAAAAAATGCGTTGAGTACAAATAAAAATAGAGGTAAAAGAGGGGGAACATTGTTGAAAAACAGCACAAATACAATTACAAATTATTACAGAAAATTACATTAAAACAGCAAACCTAAGCTAAACCTATAGCTAAACCTAAGAATGTTGTTTTTCTTGCATGGAAGTATGATAGATGGAATAGTAAATTTAGACCACTTTATATCATTATGGAAGGGGGACGGGGAACTACCAGGGGAAAGAGCCAATCCATCACGACTATATAGCACAAGGAATGGGTCAGGATAAGGATTTAGGATGGGACGGGGGGAAGGGAATGTATCATTATGGAAGTTCTTGGTGTACCTTACCGTATTTTTGTTTTTTAGGTTGCATATTGGCCATCTAAAGGTTATAATCATAGCCGTTATCAACTTTGAAAGCATATGCTTTAATTAGTTCATCAGTAATGTTATGCCTTTGAAGGCCAACAAGACAGACTCCACACGAAGTGGTTGTTGATACCATCATTAAAAATTACTTTTGTCCGATCTGTGCCCAACTCTGGAACCAACCATGTTACAGTTGGTATTGATGTGATCTTGTTCATGTGCGCTTCCCTCGTTAGTGCTGGTATTATGGTATCCCATTATCGGGGATAGTTAGTCTATCAGGGTTATCGAGGTACCGATAGGGGTTAAGGGTATCGAGGATTAATGGCCTCGAGCGAGGTCAATAGTAATCGGCTGACCTTCCCGAGGCTACCTGGCTCTTTGGTCGTGGTTTACTTCTCGTAGTGTAGCTCCCTTCCAGCCTCCTTTGCTCTCGTCCAGTGTTCATTGCCTTACACTTACTGAGTTGAGGTCTAGCAGCCATTTAATTCCCACCCCTGAGATTTTTCAGTGCCTTTCTGTAATACTCTTCATGATAAGCACAAACTCGCCCCTTCCAATAGGTAGTTAACAGATTTTACGAAGAGTATCGACCCAATTAAGTGTAGTACCGAGTCTTGAAGAAATCGTCGCCCATGTCCAAGACTTTATGACCATCCACAAATATGAAGTCAGCCGACCGTTCTCAATCTTGTCAACTGGTCACAAAATTCGTAAAGCGAGATTTGCTCTTCCTAAATCCATGTTTGTGTTGTGTTATAAATGCCTTTTTTTCTCTCTCCATATATTCAACCTGCTTGTTTTGTCTTGTCTTTTCCATCACGTTAATTTGACACCTCCTCTCTGTTTCTCCTGCTGTAAACTATTGCCTGTGTTTTGACCAGACCACACACTAGAAGGTGAAGGGACGACGACGTTTCGGTCCGTCCTGGACCATTCTCAAGTCGATTGTGAGAATGGTCCAGGACGGACCGAAACGTCGTCGTCCCTTCACCTTCTAGTGTGTGGTCTGGTCAAATTACTTTAGCCACGTTATTGTGACTCATCGCCTGCCTATTGCGTGTGTGCATGTATAAGTACATGTATACTCATACATATCCACATCATGCAATTAGAAAACACGGCGATAATGACAATATATGTGAGCTCACTAACAACACAACTTAAAATCGTTTCTTCAGGTAACATGAATGTAAATGGAGCGTCCTTGTACTGTTTAGTCGTAAAGAAAGTAAAATGACGAGTGAGAGGACCTCCAGGATTCGGAAATGACTCACACGAACACCTGATTACTTTTACGAGCTAACCTTCCCACACTCCCGGTCACACCAAGTGTAATTACATAAGTGTAGTTACAGGATGAGAGCTACGCTCGTGGTGTCCCGTCTTCCCAGTACTCTTTGTCGTATAACGCTTTGAAACTACTGACGGTCTTGGCCTCCACCACCTTCTCCCCTAACTTGTTCCAACCGTCTACCACTCTGTTTACAAAAGTGAATTTTCTTATATTTCTCCGGCAGCTTTGTTTCGTTAGTTTAAATCTATGACCTCTTGTTCTTGAAGTTCCGGGTCTGAGGATTTCTTCCCTATCAATTTTATCGATTCCTGTTACTATTTTGAACGTAGTGATCAACAGTGTGTGTGTGTGTGTGTGTGTGTGTGTGTGTGTGTGTGTGTGTGTGTGTGTGTGTGTGTGTGTGTGTGTGTGTGTGTGTGTGTGCGTGCGTGCGGGCGGGCGGTCACACTGGAGGCGCTCCGCGGTCACTTATTTTTTATTTATTTTTTATATTTATATTTTTATACAAGAAGGTACAGTGGGTTTGTGAGGATACACAGCATAGTATTTACAATCTTGTAAAGCCACTAGTACGCGCAGCGTTTCGGACTCAAACCTAGCCTGACTCCATCATTTCCATACCTATGGCTATCTGGTGTGGATGGGTATGGGTACATCCGGCTGTGGTACGGGGGCACAGGAAGCCCGCGGTGCATCGAGGTTTCAATTCCTGACCAAAGTACGAGACCATATACCCGTGGTGGCCCACCCGCTGCCACACACACACACGCCAACCTTGCTGCCATACACTGTGGCAGCTGCCATACACTGCGGCAGCTGCCATACACTGCGGCAGGAGGGAGGTCAAGCGCGGCGGGTCTGTGCAACCCGTTCTCGCACTTTCTTATAGTCAATATTGACTTATTAAATACGTGCATATGTGACATACTAATTTATTGTGAATATTTTAGTTTACCTTGAAAAGCTTCATAGAAAACACCGACCTTACCTAACCTTCTTAGTATGTTAAGATAAGCATCTTATTGCTTCGTAATTACAATTATTACTTAACTTATACCTATAATTGGTTAAGTCTGTGCCACAACCCATTTATCGTAGATTTTGTACTTTACGTCCTGCTGACTGAGGTTGTAAGCCGGTTATTAATGTTATTATAGGCAAGTCTATCTTAGGAAACTATTTTATTATTTTTAGTCATTAGTGTTATTTTATTTGCTCTTTAAGTACGTATAACTGCAGGAATGTAGGGTGTGTAGTGACCAACGTCCACGACCCCGGTAACTATCTTTGTATCTGCTGGATAACTATCTATAGATATCACAGTTATCTTCCATGTACATGGAAGATCTGCTGGAAGGCCTGAATCGAACCATGTGGCTGGAAATGCAGAATAGAACCAGTTCAGTCCGTCCTCTCAAGCGTTCACAACCTCACTAAACTGATGTACTAAATTGCCCGAACCTAACCTAACCAAGGATCCACAAATAGAAAACGTGACATCACGTCAATTTTTGCGAGCCGCTACGGTTTTTAGTACATCAGTTTTTGGCCTTTGGGGAAATTTACACGTCAAAATCTTATGTACTATTCGTACATGGCATTGTACTTTTCGTATATGGCATAGTACTTTTCGTACACTGCATTGTACTTTTCGTACACTGCATTGTACTTTTCGTACACTGCATTGTACTTTTCGTACATAACATCGTGCTTTTCGTACACGGCATTGTACTTTTCGTACACTGCATTGTACTTTTCGTACATAACATCGTGCTTTTCGTACACGGCATTGTACTTTTCGTACACTGCATTGTACTTTTCGTACATAACATCGTGCTTTTCGTACACGGCATTGTACTTTTCGTACATGGCATCGTACTTTTCGTACATGGCATCGTGCTTTTCGTACATGGCATCGTACTTTTCATACATGGCATCGTACTATTCGTACATGGCATTGTACTTTTCGTGTGCTGCATCGTACTGTCAAGCACTCTGGGAGTTGCATGTACTCCCAAGCTAGAGTACTTGACGAAGGGGGGGGGGGAAACTCCCTGCCTGGGAGGTGTGCTCCCAGAGTCAAGTAGATGGGAGCAGAACTCCTAGAGGCCACTGTGGGAGTAGCGGACAGCACGCTAGACTTGTGATCCTATGGTCCTGGGTTCGATCCCAGGCGCCGGCGAGAAACAATGGGCAGAGTTTCTTTCACTCTATGCCCCTGTTACCTAGCAGTAAAATAGGTACCTGGGTGTTAGTCAGCTGTCACGGGCTGCTTCCTGGGGGGTGGAGGCCTGGTCGAGGACCGGGCCGCGGGGACACTAAAAAGCCCCGAAATCATCTCAAGATAACCTCAAGA